TAGTAGTAGTAGTAGTAGTAGTAGTAGTAGCAGTAGTAGTAGCAGTAGTAGCAGTAGCAGTAGCAGTAACAGTAGTAGTAGTAATAATAGTAGTAGTAGTAGTAGTAGTAGCAGCAGTAGCAGTAGCAGTGGTAGGAGTGGTGGTAGGACTAGCAGTCGTAGTAGTGCAGGTATGTAGTACTAACCATAGTACTAGCAGTAGTAGTAGTTCTAGTGCTAGTACTAGCAGTAGTAGTGGTACTAGTAGTAGCAATCGGAGTAGGTCTAGTCGTGGTGGTGGTGGTAGTGGTGGTGGCGGTAGTAGTGGTAGTAATGGTAGAAGTGGCGGTACTCGTAATTGTGGCAGTGGCGGTAGTGGTGTAGGTGGTAGTAGTGGTGGTGGGAGTGGCGGCAGTGGTATGGTAGGAGTAGTGAGTGGTAATGGTAGTGTTAGTTGTAGTGGTAGGGCCAGTGAATATGAAGTAGTAGATGGCATGTAGACAACATTAAGACGAACAGATGCGGAAATTAGCATCATGTGTAGCAGAAGAGGAAGACTTCTGATTGTCGTAGTCGTTGCCGTTGCCCTATTGGTGCTGCTCGCGATGGTGATGGTTCTGAGAGTGGGAGTGCCAGCATGATTGCAGTAGAGACACGGTTGGTAGAACTACAAGTGTCAGCAAAGTTAGTACTCGCCACATCGATGACAGACTAGTGAGTGCCGATGGACGGTGGCGAACCTTGTTCCTGAGCAGTGCGGGTGCACGTTTGTTGTACATGCGACTCCGTGTCAATTCTCAGGTTTCACATGGTGTTTGTGCTGAAGCTTTCTTGGCTGGACCCGGACCTGAAGAACTATAAGTCGCGCGTAGCTGTTCGAGAAATCGACGGCAAATCGAAGATTCATTTGCGCAAGCTCGACGTCATCATCACGAAGATGTATGCCAACGGCGATATCGAATACATTGACATGTCCGATGTCCATCAGGCTGTCCAAAATCTCCGGAAGAACGAGTATGTCACCATTCAAGAGCCCGACTGGAGCGAGTATTTCTTTCCCTCATATTCGATCCTGAACCTGCAGCATGGAACGGAAAACCAAGTTGTTTTCCGAAAGTTGCTATGGTCTGACGAGAATGGTGGATTTGCGACGTATTCGATTAAGTACGATGCGACTTTGAAAGAAAGTCTGGACCTTCGCAGGTTTCCGCTAGACCACCAGCTGTGCAGGACAGTCCGTCTGCCGTCTGCGTCTGGGTTTACCTTGATTGTAGGGGGTCTTCGTGGCTCAGGCTTAGATGCTGCCTGCTGCTGTCAGTCTCTGCTCCAATCACACTAATCTCACCAATGCGAAAGGTTTTGCTCATCTTTGCTCTTGTTTGCATGAAGAGAATGGAGGGCACTAGCAGCATTTAGATGCTAGTTTTCGGGTGAGCCTTTCGGGGTTGCCTCTGCCCCAAACCCATAAACCCTAAACCCAAAACGACAAAATCGTGGGGTGCACCAAACAAAACTCTAAATCGCTGCTTGATGTTCTTGTTTCCGAACTGCAAGCTGCAGACACAATCCATGTACTGATTGAGAGTTCATACATATAATGTATCATGCACACAGTATTTAACACATCTACTATGTATACATATATATGTATGTA